AACTTGAGCCAATCACAACTCCAGAAAATTATTGAAACAGTGTGCATATAGCTTCTCTATGCAATTTATTTCCTTTAAACAGTTTACTATTAGCTTATAGGCCATCATAAATAGTTGCAAAAGCTATGCGATAATGAAAGTATTACATCAAAAATTGTCATGTGAAGTTATATGATTTTAATTCTGGAAAACTTACAGTCTTTTAGTTTTTCAAAAATTGTATCTTGATATTCTGTCCTGAACCTTTTTAATTGCATGTTGAATCTGTTGCATGTTTTCTACTGACTCCCAATCTTCTCAAAAGTTTCCTTTGCTACTTTCTATTGATTGTCTGTTTTATTTTTCAGTTCATTAATTCTGTCTCGAACTCTGTCCGACATGCTTTCTACTCTGTTCAACTGTACAATGAATCTTTCACTTGTTTCTATATTCATTTCTAGATGTTCCAAATGGCTCATTTCCTAATCTCCCTGGTCCTTTCCAGTGTTTTAGTCATATATTTTTACGTCTTTCACAAATACTCTGGAAACATCTATGGGACGCGTATCTGTCACTTTGTTGTGCTGTGGTGGCTGGCATTCTATTGGAAGCTGTGCCAACAGTATTTCAAATACTGTCGGGGTCACCCAGAGTGGACCGGTGTCAGCCGAGCTTCTGATGAAGACCGATTAGGAAGAAGGACTTGGGGAGATACTTGTTAAGAACGTGACCAGTGCAAACAGGACTAGCAGTGAAATACTGTCTGACGCAGTTCCGGGAGATGAGGCCCGCGGGTTAAAAGGCGCGAAAACGACGGGGAAAGAGAAGCTTCCTCACAATAAAGCCTGCCGCAATGACCTGAGTGGAGTAAACCTTTCAGGACTTCCAGGTGTCGGTGCGGCAAGACTCAACATGAGAAGTAACCGCTGCAAAAGATTCAATAATAGCAGAATCCTGGACTACACAAAATATGAATACAGGAAAATTGAAAGTTACAGAGCGTGAAATGGCTGCCTGCAGACTGATACCTAGGCATTAGTGAGCTGGAATGGACTGCTGTTGGCTATTTGGAATCGGGCAATCAGATGGTCGACTATGCTAAAAGCAAAACAAAACTCGCCAAATGCTCTGCTATTGAGTCCAACTCATAGCAACCCTACAGGACAGCAAAACTACCCCTTTGGGTTTCTCGTCTTTCTCCAAAGCAGCTGATGAGTTCAAATCCAGGACCTTGCAGTTAGCAGCTCACTGTATAGCCCACTGTGCCACCAGGGCTCCTATTCTACTACACTGGGAATGATCAGTTGAAGAGAAATGGAATCACATTAATTGTCAAAAAGAACAATACGAGATATACAGTGAAGTACAATGATATCAGTGATAGCACAACATCTGTTTACCTTTGAGGAAGATGACTTACGAACACTACTATTCAAATTTCTGCATCAACCACTAAAACCATTCTACAGCCTCATGTTGTTTAAGTGTGTTGGTAATTGTTGGTGACTGGAAGAAGCAATAGAGTAAAAGAAAGGCTGGCTCAAGAAGACAAAGTAAAGTTTTATAATAACATGTGCAAAGACCTGGAATTCGAAAACCAGAAAGGGAAGACCACACTTGGAATGTCTCGTGCTGAAAGAATTGAAGAAAAAGCTTCCAGCCTTGAGTTGCACTATTGAAGGATTCTATGGGCAAAATAATGAATGATACAGGAAGCATCAAAACAAGACGGGGAGAATACAGTCATTGCATCAAAAAGAATTTGTTGGTGTTCAACCATTTCAGGAGGTAGTAGATGATCAACAAGCTAAAACTGCAGTGAAGGGATTGGCCAAAAAACAAAGCTCTGGGATTTTAAGAAATACCAACTGAGATTGTTTCAACAAATAGATGCAACACTGGAAGTGCTCACTTATCTATGCCAAGGAATTTGACAGACAGCTACCTGGCCAACCAACTGGAAGTGATCCCTACTTGTGTCCTATCTGAAGAAAGGCAATCAAACAAAATGCAGAGATTGTGGATGAGCATCAATATTATCACACACAAACAAAATTTTGCTGAAGATAATAAACACCTGGTTGCAACTGCACATCAAGAGGGAGCTGCTAGACATTCACGCTATTCAGAGGAGGCTCTGAGACAAGGGCTTATCACTGCTAATATGAGATGGATCTTGGCTCAAAGCAGAGAATACCAGAAAGATGTTTACTTGTGTTTCGTTGACAAAGCAAAGGCATGCCACGGTGTGGGTCCTAAGAAACTAGGACTACATTGAGAAGAATAGGAATTCCAGAACACTTCATTGTGCTCCTGTGGGACCTGTGCACAGGCCAAGAGGTAATGGTTCAAACAGAACAAGGGGATTCTGAGTGGTTTAAAATTAGAACAGCATGCACCAGTTTTACATCGCTTCATCATACTTACTCAATTTGTATGCGGAGCAAATCATCCTAGCATCTGAACAGCGGCATCAGGATTGGAGGACGGCTTGTTATCAACCTGCGATTTGCAGATGCCCCCACCTTGCTGGTGAACGGGAGGACTTGAAGCACTTGCTGGTGAAACTGAAAGCATTCAGTGTGGATTACAACTCAACTCGACAAAAAGAAAACAAAACCCTCACCACCAGGCCGACATGCAACATCATGATAAATGGAGAAAGGATTGAAGTTGTCAAAAATTTCATTTTCCTGGGATCAACACCCGTGGAAGCAGCAGCCACGAAAGTGAATGGCATTATATTGGGCAAATCTGCTCCACAAGACACCTGGGGTGTTCAAAATCAAAGATGTCACGTTGAGGACTCAGGTGTGCCTGCCCCCAGCCATGCATCTTCGGCCATCTCATATGCTTTTGAAAGTGAGACAATGAACCATCATAATAAAAAAATACGATGCACTTGAATTATGGTGTTGCAAAGGCTATTGACTATATTATGGACTGCCAAGAGAAGCAACAAATCTGTTTTGAAAGTAGCCAGAATACTCCTTAAAAGGGAGAACAGTGAGATTTCATCTCATGTTCTTTGGGCAGGTTATCAGGAACATCTAGCCCCTGGGAGAGGGCATTCGGCTTGGTTAAAAAAAGAGGCTCAGCAAAAAGGAAGGCCCTAAGAAAGAAGGATTGATGCCATGGCTACCATCAAGGTCTCAACTGTCGAAACAATTCTGAGGAGGGTATACAAGGGTCCCAAGTGTAGTAACAATTCTGAGGAGGGTGTACAAGGGTC